TCAGGATGAACTCGCCGGAGGGCGGACAAGGTTTGCCAGGAGGGGCAACTGCACCGTATGCCCATGCACCACCCCCGCCGCCAAAAGCTGCCAGTGGTAGTATGCCAGGAAGTCCAACTGGACAACAAGAAGCTTTCTCCACTGCGCAGATGACTCAGATAGCCTAGATAGTATCTTTGAGTTTGAATCAGGCTATGGGTGATTTTAACATGAGGTTGAACGGTTTGCAACAACAGGTAGTTCATCAACAGAATGTGTTTGCTCAGGCACAGGTGCAGCAAGCTGCATCACAACCAGCTCAGGTACCAGTTGCGAAGACATCACCTTCTATCTCAAGTGGTTTGTCATCATTTGGAGATCGTCCACCCACCAGTTCACAACCCAATTTTCCAAGGAACACTGTGGAACAGCCACCAGGTTTGCAGCAGTCGCCTCAGAGACTGATTAGTGAAGTTCGTCAGGGGCAGGGTACTGCACAGAACACTCAAGGTGAAGCATCGTCACAGGGTGACAGGGATGTCTTTACGAAGAGTGAGAAGTGGCTTCCTCCATTGCCCAAGTGTGAGCATGGAACTTGGAAGACACGTGAACAGGAGATTTTGGGTTTTGCCGGCTATGTTCAGTCTTTGAGAAGCTGGGTAGCATTGGCAAGTGATACGTTTGGGTGGGAGCTTGAAAGTGCGCTGAGTTGGCCGCACGAGTTGCACATGACGAATCTGAAACCTGCACAGCAACTTCGTAGTGCCAGGTTGCTAGCTACCTTGACTCAGGCACTTGCAGAGTATCCACGAGCTCATATGATCCTTCAGGCCTATTCAGAAGGAATTGGTATGGATGGTTCTTTTCAGGCAGTGCGAGGAACGTCTGGTTTTGAGGCGTTGCGTTTGCTTGCAAAGGAGTTCAGTTTGCGATCGAGAGCGGAAGCTGCATTTTTCAGGTCTGAGTTCATGTCCAAGATGTTCAAGGCACAGAGTGGCCCTACACAGATCAGTGATTTGGTCCGACAGATGGACGTTGGTTTGTCCAAGTATCGGAAGTTGATTGATACTTTGCCTCAGCATTGTGACAAAACTGGTTTGGATTTGCAACAGGTCGACTTGACGTTGATGTTGCTGAGATCTTTGCCCAATGATGTGAAGAACTATGTAGTTTTGCATGCTTCAGGTGAAGGTTAAACTGATTATCGCACAGCAGCTCTGAAGTTTGAACAACAACAACAACGTTTGTTTCAGGAGCTTGGTTCTCATGGGTCAGGAAGACAAGCGCATGCCTTGGAAGGAGATGCTAGCTGGGAAGGCTACTATGGCGACGAAGAGGAGCAGGATTACTATGCCGAAGGTGCTGAAGAGGAGTGGGAATGGGATCCAGAGAGTGAGCTGTGGCTCAACACTGCCGCAATCAACAAGAATTCAGGTGTGAAATGTCGAAGGTGTGGCAAAACTGGACACATGCAGAAGGATTGCAACATGAATATGGGTCGTGTGAAGTGCTTCAAGTGCGGACAGAGCGGGCATATTGGCGCGAATTGCCAAGCCAGCAGTCCGAAGTCTGCAAGTTCATCTCCGTCTTCGAGCACTGGGAAAGGTTCAGGTGCAGCCAAGGCCAAGCCTGCAGCGAAAGCTGGACGAGGAAAAGGTGGTCGCAAAGGAAAGATGCATGAAGTTTCAGCCGAAGGACCTCAAGAAGAAGAGCAAGAATCTGGAGAAGCGATTTTGATGCCGCTCATTTCATCACAGGTTTCAAGTTCAGAGGGGACTTGGTGGTTGTTAGATTCTGGAGCTGCCACATCGGTGCTGTCGCAGAACTATGAGGGCATGTATCGTTGCCAGGCTCAGGAGGATTCGGCAGGAGCATTGGAAACCTACTATGCAGCGAATGGGACTCCAGTTCACATGAGGGCCAATGTTTTGGTAAGTTTGGCATGTCAGGTTGTGACTGGGGCATCTGGAAAGAAGAAGACTCAATCATTCAAATTGGCCTGTTGTATTGGGCATGTATCACACAACATTATTTCGACAACTCAGTTGGCCAAGAAGGGTTGGAGTGTGATTCATTTAATTGGAGAGACGTACCTCTACCACGAGGACAGTGGAACGCTCATTAGTGACGTGCGGTTGTGGGGAGGGACTCCGTGGCTACGAGCATGCAGGGCAGCACAACCAAGCCTGAAGGATGGCAGTCAGCCGATGGAGTTGGTTGAGTCGTCCGTGGTCGAGCCAGAGGGTTTGAAAGTCAGCATGGTTGGAGCTGTTGAGCTGTCAAGTCAGGAGAAATTGCGTCAACATGTTCTTCGAGGCCATTACCCGTTTGATCCACACTGTTTGGAATGCCAACAGGGAAGAGGAGTTTCTCGAGCACCAAGGCGAAGTTTGCGTGAGAGAATCCTTGAAGTTCAGGTGGATTTCTTTTTTTGGGTTTGATTCAGAGCAAGTTCAAGATGATTTTGCTGCGTCAGGTGTTCACCGCGGTGAGCGAGAATGTTCAGGTGACAGGCCAGCATTTGCGTCAAATTTTGGCTGAGTTGGGTTTGCTTGAGACTTTGGAAGGACCGCCAGTTGATTTCAGGACAGATGCTCAGGACGAAGTTGGGACTGTTCTGCGAAGATCTGGTTTGCCAAGCGAGTACACTGTGAACGAAACTGGACCTCAGAACCATGTTACGGTTGGATCAGTAGAGCGTGGTGTGAGAGAAGTCAAGGAAGCTCTTGCTGTTTTGCGATTGGAACTGGCCAAGGCCGGATTGGATTTGGTCGACAGCTTGGTTGCCTGGGAGGCTGCTTCCAGGTATGTGACTGCTATGCACAACCTCCCCGGCAAGATCCAGAACACAGGAAAGACTGGAAAGGAATTGCTCAGGAACACATCTGAAGGAACTCGAATTTCCGCCATGTTTTGCTCTAGGGTTCTTGCAGAGACCCCAGAAAGTGTTGACAGTATTGGAAGGTTTGTCCCTGCTGCGTATTTGTATCCTGTCAGGAACTCGTTTGCTCATTTTGTTTGTGCGAAAATTGCTGATGAGCTGAAGTTTTTCCAAGCCAAGAGTTTGAAACTTGGTTTTTCCGATTGAGTATCCACGAGATCTCATTGAACGCTTTGTTTGTCACTCAGGTTCAGGTGATCGTCCATCGCTTGTTGATCAGGCACCCCTTGCGATTTTGCCAGAGGATTTTGCACGACTTCCAGATCAGGTGCAGCCTCTACGGCATTGGGTTGATGCTCACGGAGGAACTGAAGGATGCAGTTCATGTGCCACTCGACAAGGTCGATATTCCAAGAAGTGCTGTGAGCGCTATTGGAATTGGATCCGTAACCAGAAGAAGGGAGCAGTGCCAGCTTTGCCCGACAAGCCTGAGGAGCAACCACCAATAGTTGAGCCCAATGACCCGGCTGTGGCCGTGCCTTCACGACCATTGCCGCGCATCCCAGGTTTGCCTGCTGGGATGACCCCGACGCGCCGTTGTCCAAGTTGTGAATCAGGTATGAATGCTCCAGGTACCCGGCACTCTGCCGAATGTCGCCAGCGACAAGCTGAGTTTGTGTCAGGTGGAACTGCCAGGCCGTCGCTTGGTGATCTGGAGGACCTTCCGGTACAGGAAGGTGGGGTGAGAGATGGTTCTTACTCTCCATCTTTGGCTCCGGACCCGGTCGAGCCTGCGGACGTTGAGATGGCCACCGAGGACTTTGGCTTGAACGCATATGTTCATATCTTGGAGGCGGAAGGTTCAGCTTGATTTCCTGTGGCCCTTTTGGCTTCATGATTTCCCCCCGTGATTACCGGCGTGTTCAGTTTTCCCACCACCATCCCCATGGACGCCTCCTACTGGGATGCATATCTTGTGGTCTAGTTATTTTTATCCACCCCATTTTTTACTGGTTGTATTTTGCTCCGCTGATCTTGTACCATATTTGATATATCCTTGGGGAGTTAGATTTCATGTTCCACTTGGGATCTGCCTATCACACATTTTGCCCGCCGGTTTGTGTGTTACCAATTGAGATCCCTGAAACCGATCGATGCACCAGACCTAAAAAAGGGTGATGAGCACGCTATCGTAGTGCGTGCTGCTTATGAATCATTTTCAATTGGGAGAATCTTGAAGCGTAACGGAAGCGAAGAGTGAACTCAACAAAACCGCTGGTTGATCCTTCAGCTTGTACGATCAGCGAAAAATGACTCTCAGAAATGGATGGATAGTACAAACCCCAAGTGGAGGCTTTGGCATTGGGTCTGCAGTAGCGCGTTTATAGTTTTTTTTACATATTTATAAACTATAAGCCGGTGTCCTATTCGGCCCAAAAGCAATGCTCACCCTCTACCATGACGAAGATACCAAAAAAAACACATGGCACCGACAGCAACACGTCCTGGGCAATGTCTGGAACCCTGTTGGGTCCGGCAGCAAGTTGACGGAATCCATGGGTTTTTTGATCTGATTTCCGTTGATTTCCGTCATGTTTCGGTCATGTTGCGGCAAAATCCACCACAACTCGGAAACTCTGGATGGACTTTTGGAGGAAACACTACTGTATGTCAGATCGCCGTTCGCCATTTTTCAGCTTTTCAGCCGGAAGTTGGGCAAGTAGCAGACCAAGAGGCCACATGATTTAACTCCACATGTGGATACTTGTTTTGGAGCTACCCAAACTTGCACAAAAAACCGCCAGAATGATGCTTAACGTGAGCACAACCATCAAAATATCCCCATTATGTTTCATTAAAGTCCATTAAATTCCATTGAATCCCACGATTACACAGGCTGTTTGTGTACGGATGGCGTCCTTGTCACCAAAGATTTGGGTCCAAAAATCAAGAAAACTATCTAGAAAACTAGCAACAAATCGTGAAACAAAGATATACAAAACCCGCAAAAGCAGCGACCACTCCATAGAACTCTAGAAAACTCCATAGAACTCTAGAACACCCGGCAAGAATTGAGGAAATCACATTAAAATCCCGAGAAACAAACACCAACAACTCCACATCCCTCTGCTTTCACTTAGTCTTCCACCAGCACCATGGTCATGGCGCCCGCAGCCTTAGCTTTGGGTTTGCTGTGGTCAGCGGCCGCTGATGTCGTGCTGGGGCCACGGACACGCAACGGAGCGTCCTTGGTGAATATCGCCAAGCTGCCGTTGCACACCAAAGGCACGTTGATCAGTCGATCTTGGTTGATGATTGCGATGATCTGTACCGAAAACAATTTGGGATGATCAATCCATGAACTGGGAACCCCTATTTACCAACAGTTGATCACTCGATTGGTTTTATCTGGATTTGGAAAGAAACCATGTTTTTTTTTTACCGTTGGAAATGTGGGTTTCCTGTGAATTTTGCCTTCAACCAGTTCTGGGATTGAGGTTTTGCCAAACCCAATACGCCAACTTCCATCTACGACTTGCTGTTTGGGGGCTATTAAAATCATGCAAAAACAGCAGGTCTACTATTGGGTTTACCGCATGATTCATGCGAAAATGGGGCTTTCACTGCGGAAGTTGTGGACTTAGCCAGCATATGGGGAGGAAATCCAAACCCGGTCATGATGGGAATTCTCAAGTGCCTAAATGATTTGCGAGTCATACCACTGAAATTTAACCGGAAAACCACCACATACCACGCTGAGGTTTCATATTGACATGGCTCTTGATCAAAATTCAACGACTCTGCAAAAGAAGTGTATCGCAGAATATCCCAAGGGTAGTCTAACCCACAAAAGGGCATCAATTCCAATCACTGTTTTCCCACTAAAACGAAATCCGATGCAGGTCGCTACATTGTGAACGTGGAAAATGAAAGGGCGCGACACCCAGTCGCCATCGCAACGGATTTCGTGGTTTAAAACTGCAAGCGCCTGACACAACTGGTTGGGTGGAAGATGACCGGGATGGGAAATTCAGCTACGTTGTCAGATTTTCTGTGTGATTTGCCAACAATGAGCTGTGACTTTTCCAAACGGGGTTGATCCCACTTCGAGGTTGTAATGCTGTTTGTTTCACATTGATACATATGACCTCATAGTCTTCACTCCAGTCAAATCTGTTACTTGGCCATCTGGGCTACTGACAGTATTTCCCCACCTGCCAGGTGAGGGTTGTTAGATTTTATGTCAGTTGCCTCCTCCTCCTCCTCCTCCTGCCTCGTCCTCCTCTCCTCCTCCTCTCCTCCTCCTCCTCTCCTCCTCGTCCTCCTTGTCATCCTTGTCGTCCTCTCGTTGTCCTCGTCGTCCTCGTTGTCCTCCTCGTCCTCCTGCTCAACTGCGACTCGCGATCCACAGTGTGCGCTGCCGGACCTCAACCACGACCATCCACGCCCAGTGTTCCCTGCCGGACCTCAACCACGGCCATCCACGCCCAGTGGTCCCTGCCGGACCTCAACCACGGCCATCCACGCCCAGTGTTCCCTGCCGGACCTCAACCGCGAGTATCCATGCCAAGTGTTCCCTGCCGGACCTCATGTAGGAAGATTTGCCAGATAGAATGCCAGAAAATCTGCCAGAAGATATGCCAGATAGATATGCCAGATAGAATGCCAAATAGAATGCCAGATAGAATGCCAGATAGAATGCCAGAAGATATGTCAGAAGATATGCCAGATAGAATGCCAGGTAATATGCCAGAAGATATGCCAGATAGAATGCCAGATAGAATGCCAGAAGATTGCCAGATAGAATGCCAGAAAATATGCCAGAAGATATGCCAGATAGATATCAGAAGATATGCCAGAAGATATGCCAGAAGATATGCCAGAAGATATGTCAGAATATATGCCAGAAGATATGTCAGATAGAATGCCAGAAGATATGTCAGAATATATGCCAGAAGATATGCCAGATAGAATGCCAGATAGAATGCCAGAAGATATGTCAGATAGAATGCCAGAAGATATGCCAGATAGAATGCCAGATAGAATGCCAGATAGAATGCCAGAAGATTGCCAGAAGATATGCCAGAACATATGCCAGAAGATATGCCAGATAGAATGCCAAATAGATTGTCAGAAGATATGTCAGATAGAATGCCAGAAGATTTGCCAGTAAGAAAATGTATAAATGTCATGGTGGGGATCACACGAAGTAAAGTAATTTTTTGGGGGTTATGAAACCAGCAGTTTGGGGTGACATTTTCCCATGAGTCATAGAAAAAAAGGGAACGGCCATGATCTTCAAAAGCCAAGCCGGTCCACCAGCAGTGAGGAACTCGAAGTTATACGTACCTGTTTCTGGCTGGTTGCAAGCACTCTATGGTTGGGAACATGTCATCATTTTATGCTGTGCTGCCAAAACCATAGGTCATTCCCGCAAAGCTGAGGCCATTCTTTTGGGGTCTTAAAAAACTTTCAGGCACCTACTCAAAACCAACGTTGCCCGCTTTAAAACCCAATTCATCAAGGTTCATATGGGCCCTGTTCCGACCCATAAACGACTCGTAGATAGCCCGCTGGAGTATTCATATCCGGCTTAGACCTGGTACATCGCCATTTCTGCTGCTTCAGCCTCCAGTTTTTGTTGGTCATATGCCAAGCGTACCTGGCCTGCCCTGGCCTTTCACCTTGAGGTTAAATGGGCCTGCATCAACTGGGCAGGAGAGCTGAAAGGGATGAGATTTTTTTTGGGGAAGATGTGGATTTCATCATGGAACATGTGGATCTCAGTTACAAAAAGTTTCAGATTTATCACTCCAGTTTCAGGGGTGTTTTTGTAGCTTCTAACTTCACTTTTATTTTGGGTAAATTTTTGGTCCTGGGGTCATCACCTTGGGATTCCTGGGGTGAACCAACAGCAACGCAACGCTCAGTGAAAATGATCTTCTTGTGGGGGGAATCGTTTTCATAGCTGAGGAATTGCTGACAAAAGTGCCCAGAATCTGGGAATCATTGAACGTCTGAATTACAATCGTTCCGAAATCAACTTGGTCTGGTTTCTGATTTAGTGTTGTAATAATCTACCCAGAATGACGCATAGCAAGAAGGATCGGAATGAGCACGCAGATGGTGAAAACTCAAAACTTATTGGGATTTCAAATGCTGCCAAGCACAGAATCCCTAGAATTCCGAATCCTTGTTGTACTTGGATATCCATTCCAATGAGCAAGTGTATCTAACCATCTGTTGTGTCCCCACTTTCATTTCTATATACACATATTATCATATGATGATATATGATATAATATATGCATACATATACAGTATATGATATATATATACACATGTACATACAAGTTATCGATATATTATGGGTTGCAATATCTTTCACCACTTTGCTCGTGGACGACGTGGACGCTGGTTCTTCCCGGTCCGCACCTTGGCGCCTCGTGGCAGGAGCCTATTCTCTGCCCGCGGTGGTGGGAGGACTGGAAGCACAGGCGCCAGAAATGACTTGGGATGGGATGAATTGCAGAGAGATGATCTAGGATCATCATGCTTGATTTAGTTGATCATATATGATCATTTACGATTTAAATAAGTGTTCTGTGTCATTACAAGACCTAATCATTGGTATCATTCATTTTTATGATGAGTTATTCAGTTTTCAAAACACTTGTCAGTTATCATGTCTTCTTATATATGTATTCAAGTATTTATTCTTATTATAATTGTTAGCATTATTTTTGCAACGCCTGTTGGCCTGGAGGATATCCTTCCAGTTTTCCCACCGGAACTGCCTCATCCTGGTGTTCTTGCCATGTGAAATCCATGCAGGCAGATGAAAATTATCCATCAGACCCATTTCTGTGGAGATTTCTGACATTTTTTTTTGTTTAAATTAGCAGAAACAGCGTTGTCTTGCAAGGAACGTCAAAAAAAACATCTGTAGGCTACAAGGCTAATCTTGCTCATTCTACCGGCCTCACAGTTTTTGGGTGTCCCGTCCATCATTTTTGCATGTGGGTTTGTTTGGAAAGATGGTATCCCCGAGCCCACTGGCCAACCATCATTTATCAGATGGAAAAAAATCCATTGGTGGTGGTTGGATCTCCATTTTTTAACATAAAAATATATGATATTGCCATATATCATCCCAATTATATCCCAATTATCTTCCCATTGAATTCCATGAAATCCCCATGAAAAATGGCCATTAGAATCACCATTGAAGTCACCGAGGGTGCCATTTCTTCCATTTCTTTCCCCTGTTTTTTCAGACGGGGACGCTGTCCCTCCGTTCAGAACTTGACGAATTTGGCTGCGCGGATCAGCAATTTGGGCTTCAACTGTGTGCGGCTCTGCTACAGCACAGCACCTTGGACGCCAATGGGATGAATCTGGAAATCCTGGGTGCCGAAATCTTGACAAAAGCTGGGGTGGGTGATGAACAAAAACCATAGGAATTGAATGGAATTGATGGGAATTGATGAGCAAAAAATATCGAAAGTGGGGCATGGCGATACAGGAATTGATGGGATTTAACCGTGGATTTGATGATGATTTCACTGGGAGTTTGCGACCTGGAAACCATGGACCAGTGAGAAATGACTTCGTGAACTTAAAACTGTGAAATTCGCTATGGCCCCCGATTCGCCGAACTTCAAAACATGGTGATTTCCAGTTCGCCAAATGCTGAATTAATAGAGGATAGGAAGTATAAGTAGGATTCCACTTGAAACAGACTTAGTAGACCTGGGATGATCACAGGTGGAAGTGGATGCTGCCCTTTTTTGAATGACATACCGTTTGTAGAGGGTATTCACAAGGCTATTTTTGTGAATTTTAGGAAATTGTCCAACGACCCTGATTGGGATTCTCGGCGTGGGCATGTCCCAAGTGGGATGGTTCACGGAGCTACTGGGAGCCTCAGCAACTTGCAAGAACGCTGTAGTAGATTTATTGATCATGGATGATCATGGATGATAATGGATATTTGCAGAACTTGGGTGATTTTGATCTTTTCCACATGACCTGTCGAGACTTCGCAGCTGCATCTATGTTGGTTTTTTTTGCATCACGCCCATGGGATTTCCATTGCTTTTTTGGTATGTGTTCTGGAGGTTAAATCCCCTCCAGTTTTGCGCTCAGGAGAACCATTTGATGAATCCCTTGGTCAAGGCGCTTTTTTCCTCAGTTGAAACATCAGGATCCAGATGTGGGCAACCTACCATAAACAACTGCAGGGGAGGCAGGGGATGGCTCATATCTCCCATGCATTGATTTTTGGCGTGGTGAATTTTAAAGGCTTTGCCACATTCGTATCCACAAAAACATCTATGATTTTTGCTGGGGTCATTGGAATTTCATACCACTTATTCATTCTCATTCTGACATCTTTCTCCAAAATTTTCGATAAATCTTGGCTCAAAAAAATTGTGGCGCCAAACAGCAGGTGGAGAGTTGGATCACGTTGAATTTCGCTGAATACAATTTTGTGATCCTTTTGCTAGCTCATTGTAGGTGTTCACCCTATCCTTCCCAAAATTGGTGTTCTGAGTGCTTGCAATCCATCCTGAAGCCGACTTTTTGGAAGCGAACATGTGGGGTCGATGTTGTCCTGGTGGACATGGCCATGAATTTGGGTCCTATGTCAGTTTTCACGGGTCCTATCTCGCTGTGTGAGTGGTAATCAAACATGGCAACATCAGAATTTTCAATAAGGTCATCATCATTCACAATCTACAGATGCGGTGATTCTCCAGCATTTTTTCCAGCATGAATCATTCGAATCCTCCCCAATATCAAATAGTCCCTCAGTAGCTCGGTACTGTCGAAACCATTTTCCTTTTTGCGGATCTCTTCATGAATTGGGGTCCCGCCATTATCATTAGAGATATCTGGATCTCCATTGTCGATGCCATGCTTGTATCTCATTATACACATGTATATATATATATATTATGTATATATATATTATTATGTATATATATATATATAAACATATATATATATATTGTATATACATATTATATTATAGATATAGATAGATATGCAGTATATCATTACATTCTACATATAATATATGATTATATGCACATAATCTCATGATATCCCAAGGAGTTTCTGTGAACATGGGAGCGTCCCAGGATGAGGATTTGGCGGCGAATCCCCGGTTGAAGGGGAAGCGCTTCATGGAAATCTTCGAGCAAACCGTGCAGGTTCTTCGAGCACCTGAGTTCTTTTTTTTTTTTGGGAAAAGCCCAAGCCAGGTGGATGGTGGATTTTTTTGGGATTTTCCCAAGCGACATATGATCTAATAGTTTTTTATTTCTTTTAAATCCCAAGCGACAGATCCACCAAGTGGACACATCTCAGCGTAACAACTAGCTGATAATTTTGAACATATATCTCCACTTGGGAAGAAAATGACACCAAAAACAGACTGGGATCATAGAATGAGGGTGTAACTCTAACATGAAGGTGGGATGGGAATATATATATATGACTATATATGTATATATACATATATATATATATCTTTGATCTATCATCGGAAAAACACTTTGCCAATATGATGAAGTTCGTTGGAATTTGACTTATTGCATCACGGGAGTTTTTTTGATCTCCAATCTCGCCATTCCTGGTTTCTGTTGCAAAAACTGTGACTCTTGGATGGATTAAGCCGTACGCTGCTCACATTGTTTTTTTTTACTGATTTGGCCCAAAAAAACACAAAATCGGTAAAGAAAGACCACATATATAAATATACATCACATATACATATCTTATACACATCTTAGTCACATATCTTAGTCATATCTTAGTCCTCAACTTTCGGGGATCAACTTTGATCACCGATCCCTTGTGGCCCGTTGGAATCGACCGGTTACCGCCCAGGCCTTGACGGATCAGGGTTTGATGGTCCGAGCCCTAGTGGCCCCTAAGTGACCGGGGGGTGAACGGAGTCGCTAAGTTGGTGAACATTAAACTGGTACATAATGGTACATAGTCTAACTTATAACTAGCTATCATGGGATATCATACTTTTTTAATAGTCTAACTTTTTTTTGTGTCACTTTAAGCAGTTACTGCGCAAGTCAGCGCTCAGTGTCCTGCACCTGCAACGAGGGGGTGTCGGCTGTTCACATCGTGTTATTTTTTCAGCGCACGTATATAGTATAATATACTTTAATATAGTATAATACCAGTGTATAGTATATAGCTGTTGGGTGAATGGGTAATTATGACTCTAATAGATATACCTATAGGGGTCACAAACAAACGAAACTGGGGGGACCCACCTTGTTTGGTGAAGCTCACCTGATATCACCTGGCGTGATGAGGATTCAGCAGGAAACCTCTAAACTCTGAGATAAAGATCATCTCATGGTAAGATAATTACCATCTTGGAAGCACTTTTATAACTCTTGGGAAGTCTTTTTGAAGGTGCAAAGTTGTGAATTGCCCACTTAAGGCCGAGACACTTGACTGTGACATTCAAGTGTGATCCTCTCCATGGGTGACAAATAAGTTGGTACTCAAGCACTCGGACGTGGGACGTACACCTTCAAAACTAGTATAGAACGCATGAACAAATGGCAGTGGGAGAAATCCACAGCCGACCAGAGGTGATCCTGAACAACCACATCTCCAGATCAGGTGGGGTGCTCGGCAGCAGATCGGCTCAGAAGGCTTGGTCTGAAGCATGATGAGAAGCTATCAACTTTGGGGCGATTTATTTTCCAAAAACAAAAAAGAGCCATTTGACCAACCATTTCCCTCTCCACAGCTTTGCCCAGAGGTTGGTGTTGCAACGTGCTGCAAGACGAAGGCTTTTGGTACACCGAGCGCTTTCCCGAGGCGCCAAGTTGAGACACAGTGGATGCGGTGAACACCAACTGAACACATTTCCAGCTGGGAGTTTTATCCTTAGATACCCTCTGGTAATTCAACATAGCAGCTATTGAAAATGGCCAGTGAGTTTTCCCATTAAAAATGGTGATTTTCCATAGTTATGTTCGTTTACCAGAGTCAGAGGGTATATTTCGCTATGTTTTTTTACTGGTGGGCACAGATCAACGATAATACATTGAAGTGGCAGATGCGGTCGTGAGACGCCACCTTCCATGGAAAGGAACACACCCACCCAGGGAGGTTTGCCTATCGGAGTTGTGTATAGGGGCACCATTGAGAAGTTCTATTGCCCATGGATCTTAACAGAAAAGTTAGACAAGCGCCGTGGGGCTGCTGGCGGTCCCAGCCAACATTTAAAAAGCGGGAAGTAAATATACAGATGAATACAGATGATATGTTTACATAAATATACAGAATCTGTATGGATCTGACACACATCTGACACTCATTCGGATCTGATAATATGTTTTATGGATCTACCGCCGCTTCGGATCTGGTGATCCCGCCCTACAAAAAGTTGTCACCGTGAGTCACCGTGCTAAATTACCAACTAGAAGATATGACGAATCAAACTTATTTTCCACCATATATTGCATAATTTATGAATTTTTCCAATGTGGCTGGAGCATTTTTTCGATTCTCGGGTATTGAACACTTCTGGGATTCAACCAACCATAGTGGATGTTTTTTCGGGAATATGGGATCATCTATGGACAACCAACTATCCTATTCTAAAAGAGAAGCCCAATTTTTCCATCTAAATTCAGTGGTGAGTCATCATTTTCCCTACTAATATGGCCATGGAAAAGGACTTCAATCCCCTATTTTCAGATATGCTCAATTTTGGCAAAAAGCACAATTCATTGGATCCTTCCCAGAATTGGTGAAAGAAGGAACATGTGGCGTGTGTAAATGTGGGAGCCGTAGCATTGTATAAGAAACCCAAGAAAGATTCAGAAAAATAATTGATCCTAAAAGAATAGTACATTTCATATAATTTCCTTTTCTATCTTTTCGGGGTAGTACATAGAGACATGTATATATATATATGTATTATATATAATTATATATATATACTATATTATATATGTATATATGTATATATATATATTATACGCAGTATATAATAATATGATGCCCCACTTGTTCGGTGGCCTGAGTTCCTAGCCGCGCAGGAGAAGTGGATGGAAAGTCTGCTGGACATGACTCGGCGCTTCCGGCCACTCGCTTGGCTTTTTTTTTCCTGGTTAAAACCAGCATGTTTGGTTGGCCAACTGGCCAAATATGTTTAACATATTTGTTTAACATGTATTAAATTTCCATTTTTGGGAATATTTTCGTAAGTTGGGTTAAGCCAAATGATGTCTTGCAAGATGACAAAATATGATTGGTGATTTTTTGGGATCAACACTAGGGATTTTTACCATCAAACATCGTAAACATCTTTCGTTGGTGAACTCCCCCGGCTTTGTCTGACAGAACATGGCGACCAAAAGCTGCACTGCATTGGTTCCTCCCCGGCTGAAATTGGCAAATTTCGTTGGATGATTCTCCCAGAAGAACTTCATACTTTCAATGTTTTCGCGATTTATTACCATTGAAATATGGAAGTTCCAGTTCTTATGGGAAAATCTCCCAGAAATCTGAAGAATATTTTGGGCTTAGATTTTCCCATTTTTCATGATTTTTCCCGATTTCTCCACAGGAACAATAGCCTGGTGGTCGCCTTCGACCTGCGAAATGAGCCCCACGACATCCCAGGTGTGGCCCAAAAAAACCCGCGGAGACCGGCAAAAATGGGGATTTCTGGCACCGGTGATAGTGGCTATATAACCATAGTATAAACCATGGTATAAACCATAGTTATAGTGATGAAATCCCAAGTTTTTTTTGGCGATTTCCTCTTAGTTTAAAGCAGTGAAGCAGTTATGGATGTTAGGATATGACCCTATTGATGGTTTATGATAAGCCCATTTCGTGACCATTGAAATAACTGGTAAAAGGGCTGGAAAAAAAATATTCCTTCATGGATTGAGAAACAATCCATGGTTCTGGGAAGATATTTTGACATGATGTCAATGACGTTGCATTCCCCAATTTTCCGGCAAAAACAAAAGGGATAGACACACTCTTTGTTGTTGAATGGGAATTTTACGGAAGAAGATATGGATGAATAGGAATGGATTGGAATGAAGAGAGAATGAATGTTTTGATATTCCCGAAACATCTCCAGATTAATGAGAACTTATAAATCAATATGAGGCAACTTCCGGAGAGACAAACCAAATTTGGCATGGACCTTGAGGCGATTTCCAGCAACCAAAGTGGGGGATCAAATCAGTCAGAATGGGGATATGGTGTGCTGCATGTGTGTGAAGCTTGAGATATTTTTATACCAACAAAATGGTGCGTAAAAATTAGAACTCTACGGGAAGATGGAGTTCTATATCATCGGTGAAATATACTGTACTGTAACCAACAGTATGACCTGGACTGAAAGTTGGGGATACGTATTGACATTTTGCAATATTTATCTGGAGATGTATCATATGTTTTTCTAAACCATTGGAGGAAACCAAATTTTGTCTGAAGTACCATGTTTTTGGACATACCCATATTTTTGGTGCATGAAACCAGTTGTGACACCTCCGAATTTGGGCATCTGACCTTCCATTTCAGGGGTTGAACCCTTCTTGGTTGAAAAGATAGGTCTAGTGTTCAGAATTTGACGGCCACAAAGCTAAGGAAATCTTGATACTTCTCAACGGAAGATTAGCAAATCATGTAGGAACTATGCACCTTTGCAAAAAAAATAAATCAAGAGGTTAGAGGATTTAGAGGGTACTGTATGGTAAGTTTAACATGCAAAACTATGGTGATTGATCCGGTTACCATCTGCTCATTATGGCAATCGAACATCCACCATTTCAAGGTCGTTGGATGACCTGGGGCGATGGCAATCCGGCCACCGACTGGGCCTATGCGGCGGAACGTGCAGGCGAAGTAGCCCTAAACCATCCATTTTGAGGATCCCCCATTGAAACCCAATATGCAGCCCAGGATAGCCCCGGATAAAGGATTCATATCTGTATACAGTATATGTATATATATATATACATACATTTATGTACACACACACACATATATATATATATACATGTATATTAATATCAATATACATGTAAATTCACGTAGCATTTTTGAAAGTAGGGAGCCTACAAACCAGGTTGGCATTGGACATGACCAATAATCCAATAGATGAACATCACCTGCAGCTGTTGGGGTGCGATTTTTTCCCAAAAGGGAGTAGAATCGGAGTAGAAGTATACAGGTATTTGCTCTTGCAGATCTTCATTTGCTAGTATGATGAATATGTTCTACTGGCCATGAATTTTTGTCGGGACAGCAAACTTTGGCCCAGTCCAAGAGATTCCTCGCCACATTTAGAGAAGTGGTGAAGGTTGGTGAAGGTTGGCCAATGTCCATCACATCCAATATAGACCAATCAGGACGTATCAGGGCATTCCCATATTGATCAGGACGTTTCTGAAAATTGAGGTAGCCTCTGGCAATTTCTTACAGTTTGCGAACTGGAAGATCCAACGTTCACGGGCAATCTATACCACAACTGTGGATGGTTGCGAAATCTTGCGCCAAAAGGATGGTTGAAGCCTCAACTGGTGTAGGATTACCATCCACAGCATGTTGCTTTGGTACCCCACTCGGTATCCGTAGGTTTTCCAGTTCCACTTCCGTTCAGGCAATGCCGTCCTGGATGTGAATCCCAATCTCCTGATTGCCACTGGGCAATATATGGATCAACTTAGGCGAAGTGGTCCTGTGCACAATGGAAACACCAGGGTTGCTGGATGTTGCTGGGGCTCCATTTTCTTGAAAAAGTGGTTGGTTTGACCCGCTTTTTGTTTTCTTTCTCGTTTGTTCTTCGCTCGAAGGATCCGGTTGTTGCATGTTTATTGGGACCATTTCTTCCCATACACCACAGATTGGACCTTCCAAGTACGATCCTCTGAAGCGCTGTTTTTGGGGAAAACTCCTGATGTGAGTTTTTCACTGCCAGGCCATACAAAAAGTGTCAGATTTGTATCCTCTGGTTGTCACCAAAAACATCTAGAGTCTAGAGGTCACAAGCACCAGCTATTTCGGGATCCCACCTTTTGGGCCGAAGGGACGGACCAAGTAGTGTATTCTAGGGCCCGATGAAGAAAATAACGGGGTCATGTGGGGACATCCCAAAGTTGCCATGGAATCATGGGGAAAAGGAGGTCTTTTTTCCCACCAGGAATCAACATGGTTGGATTACAATGGATTACACCTAAACCTGATGGATTTCCACCCCACTAGGCCATTGGTTGATCCCACTGTCCTAAGCTGGTGATCCCACTGGTTTCACCCTGGGTTTTCCGGCACCATGGCGAGGTGGTGAGTGCCCTGTGCTTCTGCATGGACCTGAGACCTGTGAAGAGACATCCGCCGGGGCAACTCAGTTTGATGAGCTACAAACCACTGGTCATGTTTAGGATATTTGGACATGTTGCCAATAATACATAATAATACTATTCATTATGATAACTATGATATTCATATGGTAATACTTTTATATTTACTACTGGTTATTCCTAGGGGTAGTATTAGAATTAGGATATTAGATATATTAGATCTATTCATCTTGGGAATCTATTCATAGATCATTAGATACTCGGGACATCCCATCCCCGGCATCCCATCCCGATGGCGAGATGTTTTGTGAGTTTTGTGCAGGCGGAAGTGCAACGGAAAAAAAATCACTGGACAGATGTGTGCATATGAACAATGAATGATGCTTGAAGGCATCTTTTTTTTTTAACATCTTCCCCAAGCTCTTCTCCGAAGATTTGTTGGACCCGCAGCTTTTTCACTGAACACCTTCCAGTTGAAATATCTTGAGAACACTTCCCCAGTTTCAACATGCTTTAACCCTCAGTTTCATCGTTAGTTGTTTCTACCTGTTTTGCTAGGCTTGGGTCAATGGATGGTTTAAAGTTTAGATATAGCGGGACTTTGGCCTGCTGTGGAGCCAGTGTCGACTGACCCATGTCATCCCATATTCATTTTTTAAAGCATCTGGACTACACGTCAGCAGTGCATGCCAAGAGACCTCAAGCTGCTGGAACGAACATCTGCTGTAACAAACGAAAGCGGATCATGCACTAACTTGCACCCTTTCGGAAGTGGAGTGTATTTGTATTTCACGGTGCTGCCAAAAAGAGGTCTACAAAATTAAAAACAAACTGCTTGATTTGAGAAGGGTTCCCCTGTGCCACATTGTGGGGTTCGTGACCGCTTGCATGTCAAGGAGGAGGCAAGGGCCGGCGTAATCTAGAGCCATCATCGGCACGGAGATTGCCGCGGTCCCCAGTCAGCCACTGGCGGCCCCCCACGCGTGAGTTTCGGTTTGGGAGTGCGCAAACAGATCTAGGAGGAAAACCATGCCATCCTGCCAGAATAGGAGGAATCCAAAGGTGAAAGAACTGCAGTCTGAGCACCCCTAGCCCAGGATGAAGATGTCCCCATGAGGCAAATGGTTGATCCACAAAAGGAGCCAGAATGGAAAGCAAAATCGTCGCCATCACCATTTGACAGAGAGCAGCCATAGTAGATTACCCTTAGTAGAAGAAAGAAACCTTAGTAGATTTAGTAGAATGGCAAAGAAGTTGCGCCGTGGCAGAGAGAGGAGATCGATCTGCTCAACTTGCTCCTGCACCAAAGACCTCCCATATCCATATTGGGATATACTGTACTCCATATGACCTATTTATTGGATAGACAGTGGCTTAGCATTCCAACAAAAAGATGCAGAAAAATGGTACATTTTTTTCAAATGGCAGACATCACAGATATCCCTAACTGAGGATCAAGTTCAAGCTTCCTGGGCGTTTGGTCTATGAGACACACAACTACATTGAGCGCCTTGGGCCTCCAAGGGCGGTTGTGAAGTGCTGGACAGTGGCAGGTGTTGCGGGGAGTGTAGAACAATCATATCTCATTCACATACATCTCCAGGTCTTGCAAGTAGTTAAAACTAAGCAATGCATCTTCCATGTAAGACCTCTTGACCTCTCATCACAAAAAAAACCTCCTGACCCCATCTCCAGAAAGACATCTTGACCTCCCCCACTCTAGAAGGCAAGTCAGTGCAACATTCAAACATATTCAGAACTTCTGTGGATGGCTTGACTTGGACCCGAAAGTCACGAAACACCCAAAGTCAGATGCGAAAAAGAACCCACAAGGTGGTGCTTCATTGTTAGCTAAGTTGGCTTATGACTCCAACCACTTGGGTTTATAGTAGATATATCTATACTTCATGGTGGTTATAAACCAACAAACATCAGGGGGGGCCCACCTTGAATGGTACCCCATGGTTTCCGCGGAAGGTTTTCCCATGTCCTTCACCGTGGACCCTGCCTTGTGCCCAGGTTTCAAATTGCCACCCTCTTCTCCAACAACTTCTTCTCGTCGGGTTGCTGAGTCGCGGGTGGTACGGGTGGTTCCATTTTGGAGATATTTTTGTCCGGAAACAGTAGGGAAAATACCCCGTTTTATAGAAGCAACATCAGTCTTTTCTATTTCCATAAAATCATTTCTTTTTGCAATCTAATTTTTAGTCATATCATTTCTATTGGTATATGATTGATATCCCAAGATTAGTTAACTAAGCGTCCCATTTTAGACTTGGGTAAATCGCCCAGTTCTGGGGTGGCCATTAAGCCATTTGCTTGTGGATTTAGATATACCTCATTGTGTTTGGATTTCCATGATGTGATGGATAACCATATCACACATATCATATTGTTGGTGATACATATATTCCAAGATGTTCCCATTGTATACCCATCATATTCTCATGATTCTTGGTTAAATCCCATATACGATGCCATTGGCCATTTCACATGTCCCTGCTAAAGGGGTAAACCCCATTGAACAACCAATCGGTAAATGATGGTCAATGCCCGCTAATGACGGTTGATGGTGGTGATGACAAATGGTATTTCAAGCGGGCCCCGCAACCTCTTTCCCGGACACAACATGGTCATTTTCAGTGGGAAACTCTGATGGCCTTTAGGTAGCAAAATGTTTGGAAATACTCACATTTGCAGAACTGGATATCGCTTTGATTTGTTGGCTTGTCCATTTGATGGAAGCTGTTTTGCCTCAAGGAAAACTCGCCAATAGGAAATTTCTCTTCGTATTCAATGACAATTGTAATGGCTGCTCTTGCCATGATCATGATGCTGCAGATGCATCTGGTGTTCTCTCAGGACCTCCGCTGAAATTTCTCGGTCGATCGCAGGGTTTGACCGGTTTGACAGCCATGTCTTGTGATTTTTGTGGGGCAACTGAAACACCTGAAACACAATCCTTTAGCGACAAAAGAGATTCTTTGTCCGTCCTGACCCAAGAATTTTTGGGATGATTTGTCATCAAAAGGGTGACAGTTGAAATCCACCACTATAACTTTGGAGCCAGGTTGGTGAACCTATGGCAAGGAGCCCTCAGAGGCTGTTTGGGAAGTCAAGTGATTTTGGGGTTCAGGGGCCCCAGGGACCCCATCCGAAAAGGCTTCAATGGCTTAAACTCCAGGACACAGCTGACAGTTGCGAGGACATCTCGGCCCTTCAGCTTTCCTCTCAGAAAGCAGACTGCGAGTGGCGACTCGCGGATCAAGCAGGCATCGCTTGGGCTTGGGGCATGGACTTGAGTTGCCGTAGTCGATGTTCCGGATTCACATTCAATGACCCGAAAAACTATGGTCCATTGCAGTGTTCATCATGGCTTCGGTTTTTGCTTGCCGAGTTGTGTAACCATCCACATGCATTTGGCAAAACAGGATTTATCCAGTGGCAAAGAAATAACATCGACCATTGAAGCTGGTAACATGGTGAAGATTTGCCAAGAATCAGCTGCTTTGTTGTGGTCTGCCAGGACCCAGCTGCAAAACCATTTGCGACGCTGTTTCAAAAGTCTGCGACCCTCAAGAGCAAAAGGATCTCAATGCAGTGGACATGAACACACAAATCGTGATCTTAACAAATTTTACCTGCGCAGTGGGGCCCATTTTAAAAGACATTGACACAACGCCCCATATCAATCGGTTGGGCGTATGTGAGATTGCCGCACAGGGCGCCAGCTCGGCTTGCAACCTCGGGGGAAACGTCAGGAGGTTGTGCTGCTGCGTCAAATCAGGACAGGTGGACAATGATCCCCACATTCACACCTTGAGGGGCGCGCATTACACGCTGTTGAAGAGTGGCAACTTCTTGGCCTGGAGTTTTTCCAAGGATCCAGTGCATTGGCAGCTGTTGGCCGCTTATTCTGGTGCTAGACTCTTGGACTATTTGAGTCAGTCCAAAAATTGGAAACATGTGCAAAAACCGCAACGAATCCGGTTCTACACACACATACGTCTTGTTGAATGGATCCAGTATAGAATGTATCTGTAGAAATAGGTGAATGTGTGCACATCTGGGTGTCCGTTTACTTGGATCATGCGGATCCTAGGATCGCGCTTCACCACCCAGTCGCTTTTGCTGTTGGAAAAGCAGAGTGGACAGACTTTGGAGATGACAGCAGACGACTGTGTGTGGCAGACGAAAACAGAAAATGGATGGCGCAAAGTACAGCCAGAGTTGCTTCTCCAGGGTGCTGCGAGCTTGGATGCTTGGCAAAAAACCAGCAAAAACACCGATGTTTCAGTTATAGAGATGGGACGCGCCAAACATGTCTTTCTCAAGCCACGGACATGGACATGGACATTTCGGAAAATGCCATGAGCCTTGGACCTCAGGAAGTCCAGGAAGTTCACAAGGTCACCGCGGATCCTTTGAATTTGGAGTCGGCGATGGTTTTGCAGATCCCAGAGGAATTCCCGGGGTCAGGTGTGTCAGGTGTGCGGAAGGTGGCTAGGCTTTTGACCCACTGCAGCCCCAAGAAGTATTTGAATTTCAAGGTGAAGATGTTCGAAACGGAGGATTTGGACTTTGTGGGAGGGGAGCTTGGAAGTGCACCACGCAAGAGCCACTTGAGCCTCTTCTCAGCCAAGCTCAATTCCATGGTGATGCAGACGGATACCGAGTTCCAGGCAAAGCTTGGAGTAGCCGGATCCCAAATGGGGCCTTTCCACATTGTGTTTCGGGTGTTTTAGGTGGGGACCAATGGCTTTGGGGTCGCATGGATGGAAACAATTGGAAACACTTTGAACCACCTCATTTTCCAAGACCAAAACAGGATTGCTGCCGGAGTTGCTTAGTGACTGGAGATGAATCAGCAGGATGGTTTGCAACAAATGAACAAAAAAGCACGAAATACTTTCTTGTTGACACAAAGAAGATCAGCAAATTTGAAGCAATTCAGACTTCTGGAAATAGAAACCGATGGAAAACAGAAGTGAACAGTAAGAGTTGCAAGTAGAAAGGTTTCTTTTTTTTGTATCTTGACCACCTCTGACATGTTCTTACACTGGCCCCTGACTCAAGTGACAGGTTGGCACCTGGGCTTCATTGGGTGGCAGTGAGGTTGCAGCAGAATTCTTGAAGTTGAAACAAGAGGCTGGAATGGCCTTGGTCAGCACCAATACGACTGATACCTGCACGGAAGCTGAAGAGCAAGAAGCGGACACCTGGATTAACGACTTTGGTACTAGATTGGCTGGATTGTCACATCTAAGTGTCGAGAATCTGTACACTCTACATCTACAGTCATCTACAGATTTTAGAGCCTCTGCAATCTACACATTTTTAAAATGGAACTCTTAGCCTTATCCCCGGACAGGCTGTCGGACAGGCCATGGGTTTTCCTCCGGTTTTCCTCAGGAGAAGATTTGTGCCAAACACCTTCCACGAGATGGCGATTTGGCCGAGGTTTTCGTGGACTGCATCTATGATGTCTGCCATGGAGGGGGAGAAGCAGATGCCATGAGTGCGGCCGCATTCATCTCTGCCTAGGGATGGATACAGATGGGCCATGAAAAAACTCGAAAAAAAACACATCTCTTTTTGAATTCCGTTTTGAACATAGGGCCAGGCTAGGCCAGTTGGAGTTTCGAAGGTTTCACACCGCTGCCCCGTGGGCTTATATATTATTATGTATTATGTTTCAGATCGCGAGCATATGCCTCCAAAAGAGGAGTCGTCCGCCCACTGCTTCTGTTTGTAGTGCACTGGTCGATAGACAAACCATTCGTGCCTCAACGTTGACCATATCTTGAAACACTTCTAGTAGAACATTGTAGAACCATCACGTGAGAGGAGAGTTAAGCAGTGGCAAGTCCTTGTTGTTTTTTCGTTTTTCCCGAGAGCGTCTGAGCGAAGGGTTCTTCCAAAAAATGAGGTGAGATGCTCACGGTGAGATGTACATCTTCATTGTAAAACATCTATGCATCTGACATCTTCACATCTCACATCGGCACATATTTTATCCATACTCGTCGTCGCCAATTGTGAGGCTCCATCAAACTATTTGACACCTTAGACACCTGGAACCTTCGGCGCTTTCTTAGAATAAAGCGACCAAACAAGCTTTGGAAATCAACGAAAGCCGCCGACCCTTACATGCTGTCCATTCCAATTATAATACGGGATGATACGGGAAGCGTCCGGAGTGGACCCGGAACGAACTTCGATTGGAGCCCATGATTCATCAGATCGATTGGGGTCAGACCGTTGCCCAAAAATAGTTGACAGAAGATTTTGTACGTCAGTGGTCAGTGGTTGATAATTGCTGTGAATCGGATCTGGCTTTTCCCGGTTTTTGCTTTTCGGGACGCACCAAAATTCACCAATTCTGCGCTAGTGCTAGCTAGCAAAGCCGGTAGGTTTGCGCTAGTTATTTTTCACATCCATGTTGAAAGATTTTTGTGTGTGTTGCCGACTGCTTGTTATTTCAACATGAAGAACAGTCAGGATGTAACACTTGGTGCCTTAAACCTAAGGATGTCTTAGTGAATTTCTGTGCTCCTCAACTATTTTCCTATATTTTCAGCTTGTCGTTTAATTTTGTGAATTTGTAGGTAATTGTACCTGCTAGATCCCCGCTAACAATGCCCTAGCAAAAGTTGCAAAAAGCGGCTTTGGCTGACCCGTGACCCAGTCGCCGCCAGAGAACTTGTAGTTTTATCGTTTCTGCTTGACAAAAGCAACAGTGTCAGCAAAGGCAACGACAAGCCTTGCAGCAGATGAATAATTCTTGAATTTCCACGACTAATAACTAGCAGCGGCACCCACTTCATATAGACTTGCGTTAGCATTTCCTGCAGATTTAGCTGCGGTTTCAAACATGAAAGATAAAGTGCCGTGTTTCAGACTATGTAGAAAGGTCATAGGTTTTAAAGACCAAACATGAAGCAGCACGCATGGAATTACGACTTATGAACCAAACCAGACATAGACATTTTGACAAACCGTTCAATGCATTTTCATAGGGATTTATATAGCCATTATAAGGAATGAGCATAAACATCCACAAAGCGTTTTCACCATCGACCCTGGTGCACATGAAGAATCGAGAACATCCATGGATGGGAGATGTACCAAATATTTTACCTCCAACATCATCCAATTCTGCTCAGAATTATATGACTCGTGCCTCAAAGTTGATGTTTTTTTGTTTTTCTTGCTATCCTTGACTATGTCTATCGTGATGATGTCAATCCAATTTGGATCGATTATGTTGGTTGACTTATAAGATCTGCATTATATATATATGTAGTTGGCGAAAGAACTCCGTCCAGGAATGCATTTGTGTATACATATATCATCATAAATCATAAGTATATTTGTAGACCTACATGATTATGTGATCATCATATGGTTAAACCAATAATAAACCAGCCCATTTTTGATGATCAAGAAAAAACCACCCATTGATGGTGAACTTGGGGATGGTCGCCAAATCATCATTGTTTTGGCGACAAAAATGTGGATTATCCCCATGAGATCACCATGATATCCCCAGAAATCTCTGGCGGACACACATTCCGCTGAGATCCCCAGGTGGAAAGAGGTGGCCACTCTGTCCACTTACATCTTGGTGGCGCTGGTGGTCCTGGATTTGGCCTTCCTGTGCGCCTTTTTTTGTGTTTGTGTTTAGAGGCTGGGGCTAAGTTGGTGCCAACAACTCCAACAACTATTGGGTATATATACATATCTCCCCATACTTAGCTAAGTTGGTAGATACATATAGCTAATTCAACTATGGGTTATGATATATGGAACTAGTTGGGGTCATGAAACAACAAGAATAACGTTCGAGGGGGCCCAAATTTAAATCCCAGCTTGGATGATCTCAGAAGGGAAATGGTGATAGTGGTTCTACAATGAGGAGATACTATGGGATAGAATTTGGGATATGGTATTGGGATATGGTTTGGTACATAGTAGGGATATACCCTCCGGTAATCAAACTTGCGACAATTTTTCACATGCCCCATTTATAGATGTTTTTCCCATTAAACCCTCCGTTTAGTGCGGGGGATTTTCCAGCTAGCCACGTTTGATTACCGGACATTAATATGGGATATGGACAAAACATGGGATAGAACTAACCATGGGACAACAGATAGTGAAGGATATCAGGATATACCATCAACCGAAAAACCCTGGTTGGAGGTGGAAGACTAGCCTCCAACCTTAAAAAAGATGTAGGGCAGGGTCAACCTGTTAATTCGGTGAATGGAAAGTATAAACCATGGTGAGTATATGTACTTACGTTTTCGGGTCTAAACATGAGACCACCCATGTGGCTTTCGCAGCTCTGGCTTTTAGCAAATGCTTGGGCACCCACTCCCCTGTGGGTGTCCCTTGTGCCTCTGCCTTGCGCGGGTGAGCGATATCATCCGTGTGGGGGGGGCGTGGCCAGAGTTCATCGGCTTTGCCTGCAGCCGACTGCGGGGCGTCGAGGCCGATCTCAGGGACGAGTTAAGCCGCGTAGCGGCTGCGGTGCCGGGGGACAGGCCTCCTCCACCCGGTGCCGCGACTGAGGGGAGTAGACCGAGTCACTCCCAGACTCCAAAGAAAGAAGCGACTGCCTCCGCTTCAGCACCTGGACCTCTTCAAGCTGCTCAACCTCCTCCACCTCCTGCTCCAGGAGGATTGACAAATAAGGCTCCTCCTCTTCAACCACCTGCTCATCTCCAAGAAAAGCCTGAGTCCAAAGCAGAGAAGAAAGTGAAAGAGGAGCCCGCCGACGAAGACAAGCCAAACCAGGAGCAAGGGGTGGTAGAGGTAGAATTACAGGAGACAAACGCGTCAGGAAGTGGAAGCAAGCCAGAAAACCCACCTAAGGAGGAGACGAAGCAGGAGAAGAAAAGAAAAGCATCAAGTTCCAGGAGGAGAGAAGAGAAGAAAGAAAAAAGGGAGAAGGAAGCGAAGCGAAGAAGGGAGTCTAGATCTCCCAGGCGGCGAGAAGAGGACAGGGAGAGAGGGCGAGAGAAAAAACGTCGAGACGAGCGTCCACCGGAACCAAGGTTCCCACCTCGAGGACGTGAAGAGCATTACCACTGGGGACCTCGTGAACCCGATCATCCGCCTCCTAGAGGTTCAGGTTGGCGCGGCCCATTGCCGTACTCCGATCACCCTCGGTGGTCAACAGGAAAAAACAAAGGAAACACCCGGAGAGCCAAACAAGAGCTCTTCAACAACCGGGAGAGGAGGCGGCGCTAAAGGGACGCAAGATGCCTCCCAAAGCGAAAGCCAAAGCAGGCCTCTTGAGGCGCCCCGCAGCCCGTTTGAGGCCGAGAAGACGCCCTGCGGCAAGAGAGGGTGAAGAGGCTGAGGAGGCTGAAGAAAATCAAAGAAAAGCCTTTGCGGACCTCAAACCTCATGACTTGGTCAAGCTGGGTCCCATACGGTTGAGGGAGGCAGTTTACTATGGAAGAAAAGTGCAGGTGGCCGGTGCCATAGCTGACGTGAGGCTTCAGGGAGGCCAACTGTATGCCGACCTCAAAGTATCAGGAACCCAGGATGAGGAACTCTTGCGCATCCTGTCTGGCAAGAAGTCCCGATTAGCAACGTTACACGTTTGTGAAAGGGACTGTGGACAGCTGATGACTGAAGAGGCCTTGATCCATAGCAAGACCTTTGAGGCCACAGACTTGCGGGCTTCCCCATGGATGACAAACTTGAAAGAGGCTGGAGAGCCGGGGGAGGAGACCGATGAGATGGTAAAACTAAGGGAAGCCCAACGAGGAGAAGAAAGAGGAGATCGAAAGATTGAGGAGTCGAAAAAGAAAGAGAAAAAGAGGCGAAGAGAGGATAAGAAGGGTGAAGAAGGGAGAGAGACAAAATCTCCCAAAGGAGAAGAAGAAGTAGCAGAAGTGGGACAGAAGGAGTTGAAAGCGGTGTATGAGAACACCGGGATGGATCCCGATGTCAAGCGGAGGACCAGGCTGATGAAAAAAGCCCAAAAGTTGAGCAGAGCGAGGAGGAAGAAGAAAAAGAAGAAGGAGGATAGATCTACAAGCAGTGTGTCAGGAAGTAGTGGGTCCACGTCTTCGACAGGAAGTAGCCCAGGTAGCAGCGGCCTGTTCAGTGAGGAGACCAGGCTGAAACAGCTGTGGAAGAGGTACCCAGGGGTACTTAGCGCTCAGGCGATTTCAGAGATGAAGTCAAGTCTGATGACGGGCGCTGGCACGATGTGGTCGCTGGATCGTTCCACTTTGCCACCGCTATGCACACACTACGGACGCACCCAGCTCATGCCCCACCTGAGCATCGTGGTGCAGCAAGAAACGTTGACGCTATGCACGGCCATGGACCAGTTGATCCAAGGGAAGGTGGCATCTGGATTGGATGTATTGGCCCAAAGACTCAAAGCCATAGAAGCTATGAGCCGTGGAGGACATTGGTCCATGGCCAGACAGATGGAATTGTGCCGAGTTGACGGCACAGGAATTTCAGAAGAAGGTGAGTCACCGGCAGCTGCCAGAAGAGCAAAGGAGGAAGAGCGCCTGAGGAATCTGATGGCGCGCCCGAGTGGAAGTAAGGGAGGTGATTTCTCCCAAGGGAAGACGCGAAAAGGAAAAGAAAAGGGTACAGGTAAGGGAGGAGCCAACGAAGGGAACAAAGGCAAAGGTGGACAAGGAGGACGAGAAGACAACAAAGGAGCATGGCAGAAGAAGAAAGATTGAGCGAGTATGAGGGAAAGTTGGCTGGACCTTACCGTACCCATGACAAGAAAAATAAAGAGAGTGGGCTGAAGAGAGGCAGAAGCTATGAAGGGTGGAAAAGTGTTTTGGGTGAAAAGGAGGCAAATCTCCCTGGCACAAGAGCGGACGAGAGGAGCGTTACAGAAGCGGAAGTAGAGAGGCTTATAGAGGAGGCAGAAAGAGAGGCAAAGAAAGCACAGGGGAGCACTTTGGAGCCGTCTCCGGAGTGCTCCCAACAGGCAAAGAATTCATCTTTTGAAGAGGGGAGCCCCCCAGCCGATGAGCTGGCCTCCCAAGAGTTTCACCAAGTGGCGCGGAAGCTCATTGAAGACTTCATGGCGGAGTTGAAAGAGGGTTGTACAGTAGGAAGTCTAGGTGGCCTGGTGTGGGATGCTCTCAAGAAGATTGATGCATCTTCATGTTGCAGACCAAGGTCCATCACAGGTTCAAAGGAGCTTTTTCCTCTGCCTGTGGGGGGACATCTCACGCCCGGCCTACCGCATGGCGCATTTCTCCAGGCCATGATTTGTGGCCTCAACAGCTTAGGTGGAGCTGGGTATAAACAGACCGTAGAGAGACCTTCTCCGGCAGCATCAAAGGTGCTCAAAAGGTTGGAACGGGTGGTAGCTGAGTCGGCAGTGTTGGAGGCAAAGTTCACCGGAATAACTTTTGAATCATTTTTTGGAACTAGAGGTTTGGATTATTCTGGTGAAGAAGTCAAATTGGCACAAAAAGTGAGATGGAGGAACATCGAACCATCCTTGCCACCACAGGTGGGTCAATTGGATATTCGTGATTTTTTGGAAGATGGGGTGCTTCACTTTGTGACGCATATTGATGAAACCTTGGTGCCAGAAGTGGATCAATGTTTGGGGCGTACTCCGAGTGTAATGGTTGACCCTGATCAATGGGAAGAGTTGGCCGTCAATTTGGTAAAACGTGGGCTTTGTAAGGTGGTGCCACAATCACAACTTTACCATGTTGGGTCGTCTCCCTTGCTAAATGGACTCTTCTCAGTAGGAAAGGATGAGGTAAAAGATGGGATCGCTGTTGGCCGTTTGATAATGAATTTGAAGCCTTGGAATGCCATCAGCCAGACGCTCTCGGGCGACATTGGAACCCTTCCCCTCATCACCAACATGGGAGCTTTGTACCTACATGACAATGAAGTGATCCTCACTTCTTCTGAGGACTTGAGATGCTTCTTCTACTTGTTCAAGGTGCCGCCAGAGTGGGAGAAGTTCATGGGTTTTGGCCGTGCAGTTCCTCGGTGTCTGGTACCCCCTAATGCTGAAGAGACCAACTGGTATCTTACAGGGCAAGTTTTACCAATGGGATATTTGAACAGCGTTGGGATTGCTCAGCACATACACCGGTGCGTCATAAAAAGGGCTATTGGGTCTTTGCGAGGGTTAGGCTGCACTGTCCAAGAGCTACGTCGGGATAGGACCTTTACTTGTTTTCCAAATCTGTTTAGAATTTATCTCGACAACTTCGACCAGTTGCAGAGAGTTGACAAGGGACTGGCCACCATGTTGGCGGGCACTCCCAGTGACCTGGTGACACAGGTAAGGGAGTATTATGACTCCCAGGGTCTCCCAAGACACCCCAAAAAGTCTGTAGAACAAGCGCTGCAGGCTGAAGTTCAGGGGGCGTGGTTGGATGGGAGACGTGGAACACTTTGTGCAAAGCCCAGCAAAATTGTGAAGTACATTGAACTGGCCTTGGAGACCCTCCGGCGGGGAAAAGCCTCCCAGCGGGAGCTCCAGATCATAGGCGGCGGCTTTGTTTACGCAGCCATGTTCAGGAGGCCTCTTCTGGCCAGTTTGAACCAGATCTGGAGAAGCATTCAGGAAAGATAAGAATTGTCAGCCTTCAGAAGGTGTTGGTTGAGCCGTGAATTGATGGTGGAGTTAT